ATTTTAATTATTTTGGGAATAATATTACTTACTGATATTTAGATTAGTGAACCTTATAGTTTAATTATTGTTTTACATGGATTTAGTAATGATGTTGGTGATATTTAGTTTATTCATCTGGTATTTATTAGGTCGGTGGAATATATCACGTTATTATTTATCTTTCACTGTATTTTGCATTTATTATGTACAAGGTTGGTTGGTTAAGGCTTTGGTGGCCGGTCCGCCGCCTATCCTATGTGATTTGGGGTGGGGGTGTGACATCTACGTCAGGGCTCAATCTAAGATTTTACCGCATGATCTAGGCACTGAAGATCGAGTAGATTTAACCTCACCGAGCTACTATGGAGCACGGATACTTTGTTGAAGTTACGACCCGTATCCGATACGATACTCGTCGGATATTCGAGGATACGTATCAAATACACTTTCTATGTATCCGATAATAATTAAATATATGATATTTTACGAATACTTTTGTAGTCGAGCAACATATATAATTTTTTAGTTGAACTTTTAACATTTCTTTTTGAAATCACATACCATACAATATATTAACAAAAAATTTACATTACTTTAAAGGCACATGAGTATTTTTTAAGTATTATTTACAATTACATGTTAAAAGAGTATAAAATAAAGCTATTATATTATAATCTTAGTAAAAATTACTTTTAAATATTAGGTAAATATTAACTTTGATTTTTTTAATTAGTCACTTTATTTTGTGAATATACCACAGCGACACAATATATATTTTTTTGAAATTAAAAAGAATTACTAATTTTCCTTATTATATATTAAAAAATTATCAAAATATAAAAGTATTAAGTTGGTCGAAAATAATAAGAATATTAAATATATTTTATTATTGCCGTATCTTGGCCGTACTCGTATCTTACTTTTTTAGATTTTGTCATATCGTCATATCCATATCATATCGTACCCGTATCTCATATCCGTAACTCATATTCATATCCGTATCAGTATCCGTCCTTCGTAGCCGAGCAATCATATCTTTGATGACTCGAACTAAAGTTTTAAGGGAAAAATTCAAGTTTTTATCCACTGGATCAACTGCATAATAGTAACCTATAAGGTTTCTTCAACTTAGACATCCCATGCTATTATTTTCTTTAGAGTTGGATGGTGTTTTAGATGGATTGGATTTTATGAAGCACGGTAATATTTTTTTGGGGTCGTATTTTTAGAAAAACTGTACAATTTTTTTTTTTTTAATAAAACTGTGATCTTAAATTTTTATCATAGTACTTTTATGTGTGGGTTATTACTATTAATAAAATAATGTTAATAAGACAAATGCACTTCTCATCTCATTTTTCTTCTCCCGACGGATCTGTTAATCAAACTAAGCTATTCGAATCTGGCTTGAGTTCGACTCGAATTTGACTCGTTCAGACTCGATTCGTTTTTTAAACGAGTTTGAACTTGAACAAGTTTTGGACTTATTTAGAAAATAAGCCTTATAAACTCGGCTCAAACTTGATAGGTCGACTCGTTTATGTACAAATATTTAGGTTCGACTTATTTTTAACTCGTTTCCTAAATGAGGTGAACTTGAATAATTTTTTAAGCTCGATTAAAAAACAAATTTTTCAAGCTCGGCTCATACTCGACTTGGTCCCGTTCGACTAACATCTCCCACTCCTGACAAGACCTACGTCAGCCATGGAATAGATCATTTGTAAACTTAAAACGATGTCGTTTTTCAGTGATGTAAATCTGTATTAAGATTGATGACAGCCTTGTTCTGCACCAATCCAAGCAAGTCAATTCTCAATAATTGAACCCAAAGATAAAGTCCAAACCTCAACCAATCAGATTGGTCAGCGTACATTACATTACTGCATTGCGAAGATGTTGGCCGACGACCAAACTTGACTTCTCTCTCCAAGAATGCATTTCATCTTCTCATCCCAACATCAATGGCTGCCTCAACTCAACTACTATGCGTAGATCCAGTATTCAGTATACATTCTAAGGTATGTTCTAACATATATATGTCAAGCCACTATGAATATGATCCTCGTAGCTGCTTCTATTGTCTGTTTAAAGTTTACGTACAGTCACATTCTGCACATTGTTTCCTATAATCCTTTGATCTGCTGTAGCAGTGTTGCTTTCTATGGTTTTTGTCTCTCCTGATTCTTGCACACCCCCTCCATAGTTGCATTGTCTCGAAGCTTTTAACTTGGGTGAGAAAGTTTTGAAAATAGAATAGAAATGAATAAAAAGTTATAAAATTTTATTTCTGAAATATTTTTTCAAACATTAATAAAAAAATACCGAAAAGACCTCAAAACATTTTAAAACATCTTCAAGCACTTGAACACATTGAAATTTGGACATTCAATCATTAATTCTCAATTTATATAGAAGCAGTAACAAGATATGTGTGCATTAACAGCTGCATGTTAATTAGTTCTCTATAATCCTTTTATGCTCACTTTAGTTGCTGAGGAACAGTACGGAAGGATAACAAACTGAAATTCTAAAAGCTAAATTCTCAACCATAAGGATATGGGATCTGATAAAACTGTGCTTATTTACTCTAAAAACCGCACTCATACATAACTGGGGTGTAATTGAGGTGAGATAGTCGTAACAAGGAAGCAGAAACGTCATAATCTGACTAATCTATGGTAATTATTTTGAGATGGTATCTCTAGCAGTAATTCTTCGTTTGGTACAATAAAAAAATAGAAAGATTGAAAATTAGAGGGATAGATAAATTATTATCTTTGGTAAGGAAGAAAAATAAGAACGATGAAAAAATAAATAAATTAACTTTTTTTCTAACTCATCAAAATCAATCTCTCTAAAATTGAGAGAAAATACAGATGAAAAGTTAATTATGTGTGTTAAAATGTATGTTATTTATTTATATATCATTTGATATATACATATATATATATATATATCATGGTAAAATATGTATTTATATTTTTCTATTAAAAAATAAAAATATTAAAATTCAAAAAATTCTTTTTTCATCTTATCAAACACAAAAAAATAAATAAAAAAAATCAATCATTCTTATTTTCTTTCCATCTTACCAAGCACAAAGAAAGAAAATAAAAATTCCTCCCTTAAATGATAAAAAATATATTACTCACACTTTCATGCCACCAAACAGAAGAGTCATGTGGAAGAGCAGCTTTATGGTCGAAAGATGCAGATTGATTGAAAACGAAGTTCATGTAACCCATTAATGCTCGGTACTTGAAGAAGAACTTTCTTTGTGCGTTGGTCCTTGACCAAAAAATAAGACGGATAAAATTCGAATTAGTGACAAATTTGTGAACTAAAAGGAAGTTCTGTTGAACCAAAAGAACATGTAATACATCTTTTGAGGTAAAATTGGAGAAGAAAGTGCGAACAAAGGAGGACTCAATATGGGAGATAGGCAAACCTGGTCCATTTCCAATTTTCACAGTATCAAGGTCGAGATAGTCAGAGGAAATATGAAGATTGCTCAGATCGGGAGTAATGTGGTGAGTCGCCCCAAAATTCGGATACCAGTTTGTACCAAAAGATGGATCAGTTGTATTATAGGCATGCATAGGGGGAGGAGACGTTATGTGATATGCCTCATTAAATGGATTGTAGCACTGAAGAGTGACATGACCAGACTTGTTGCAAATTTGGCATGTTGGACTATTGCCAGATTGTGGAAGAGAGAAATCTGAATAGGGGAAATTATGCCCACGACCACGACCACGACTACAACCACATACACGAGAACCCTATGCTGATGGTGGCCACGATGAAATGTGGAGGAGTGGCTGGATGGAATATTACTTTGTGCAACATTAGCAGAAAGTGCAATATCTGAGGAAGATGATTCATGAGCAATGCGAAATGCTTCAGTGAGTAAGTAACTGAGAAGTTCGGCAAGAGGGATAGAGTCAGGTTGAGTAGATATAGAAGTCTGAAAAGGGCCATATTCTGCTGGGAGTCTGCCAAGGATGTAGAGAATGAGATCTTCATCCGAGATTGGTCGTGCAACTGCTGCAAGCTGATGAGTGAACGTTTTAGCACATTGAAAATATTTTTGCACCGAGTCGGTGCCCTTCTTTAGAGCTAGAAGCTCCATACGAGTTTGTAGGATTCGCGTACGAGAATGTGCTACGAAGGATGCTGCGAGAGTGGTCCAAACTTCATGAGAAGTGGATCGACCCACTACTTGGGCATGGGCTTCCTTAGTAAGAGAAGCAATTAACCAACTCAAAAGGAGTTGATCTTGTCGATGCCATGAAATATACTCCGGGTTCGGAGTAGAAGAAATGCCAGATAAGGATGAAAGAAATTTTGGTGGAACACGTTTAATCCCATCAACATAGCCAAGAACACCATGTCCACTGAGTTGAGGCATAATTTGGGAATGCCAAATATGATAGTTGTCAGCACAAAGTTTGGTGGTGACTGTATTGGTTTGTGGTGACAAAGCTGGAAAGAGAGTGATGGGTGATGAAGAGGTTGTATCGGAGGTAGAGTGGGTCATGCTAAAATTTTTTTTACATGTCGCAGATCTTTGGCTTTGATACCATGTAAAAAGTCGACAAAATAATTAAGAGATGAATTATATATTTTCCATTGATAGGAGAGTTACATTTATACAAAGATTTGTTACAATTTGATAAACAAGGAATGAATGGTTCCTTATCTTATCAATCCTATTTATTATCTGATACATTCGAACTTAAGCAGTATCCTTAACACTCTATTAGAATAATTAGGAAGAAAAGAGACAATTCTTTAAATACTGTATTAATTCATCAAAAAGCTATTGAGCCATAAAACTTACAACTGTTTATATAATATCAAAAACCTAATCAAAGTAGGGAAGTAGAATCTAAAGTAAATTAGGAAATAAAATAAAATAAAATTCTAATTGATATAATAAAATAAAATAAAATAACTTCCTAATTAAATTAAAAAATAAATAAAAACCTCCCAGAAATTGTCTAGAAAAAAAATTAGGAAGATTGGTTTATGACTGGGTGATGAAGATTGGGGACTGATTCTGAGGGAAGAGATGATGGATTCGACATCCTACCGAAGATAGACCTAATTCTAGACCAGCTGTTTCCGGTAAAAACCATTTGCGATACGTGCTTTCCGGCACAATCAATGAGCAGCGAGGCCACAGCAATCAAAAAACAGCCTAGCCATAGTATCCACTTTAAACCAGCTCCGGTGACAAGAACAAACCCCACATGCAATACCATAAAAACACCTAAAGCCACCCAAAACCAGTGGTTTTGTTTGAGGCCTCTGAAAAAATTCATCTCCTCCAACTCCCTAGCAGTGAACAGGTTGAAAAACTGGCAGAGAACAAAGCAATTGAAGATCATGGATTTTTTAACATTGCCACTGATGCCCGGTATGGCATTTCCTTTGTGTTGAAGAGTGACTAGAGTGGCAATCTGATATGAAGCTTGGGTCAATGTGTTTCTCCACATGGCCTTGGTTATGAGTGATTTAGCTTTGTTCAGCGGAGGATTATTCATTTGCCTCTCTGTTGGTGGCCCTGTCAGCACTACACAACCACCTACAAATGCCACAACCAGGTTCACCCAGAACAATTGGAGTGTTGTCAATGGGGCATCTCCCAAAAATCCTATCCCTATAAAGTTTATCAATAGGCTAGAGATGGTCATAATGAGCTCCACTTGGATAAACTTCTGAATATTCTCGTAAAGACATTTCCCACACTTGATTGTATACACTACAAAACTAAAATTCCCATCCCAGATGATAATATCAGAGTTCTCTCTTGCCTTGTCTGAGCTCCAAGTCCCCATGGTCAGTCCTATGTCAGCTTCTTTTAGTGCTGGAGCATCATTTGTTAGTTGTCCAACATATGCAACTACTTCACCCTTTTCCTTCAAACACTTTACCAGGAGAAGCTTGTCAGATGGTTCGGAGTTTCCCATCACACGAACTCTATCTATTGCTCCCCTCCTCTCTTCATCATTGTAATTTCGAAACTCTTCACCTGTAAGCGCCAGATCATTTGAGTCAGAATTGAGTAACCCGAACTTATTGGCTATGGTTTCAAGTTCAGAGACATCATGTCCTGAGACTATTATGGTTTTGACTCCAGCTGCTTTAGAAGTGTCGATGGCTTTCTTTATATCCTCTCGACTTGTGTTTTTCAGGCCTAGCAACCCCAGCAAGGTTAAGCCATTTGCTTCAAGTGTTGGGGCATCAGTTTTTTTGCAAGCAAATGCAATTGTCTTCCAATTTTTTCCCACCATTTCCTTATCAACTCGCTCAAACATCACCCTTTTCTGATCATCCATGGCATGTTTCTCTCCTTTATAGTCATAGTAATCGGAACACATGGCCAATATCTTCGCACCAGGCCCGTTCCAATGCGAATACATATCTTTTCTACCGTCTCGATTTTTCTCCACCAACATTCCACAAAGTTCTTGATCATCACTGTCCGGTCCTCTTTCAATGTTCATAACGGTGCAATGTCGTTCCAAAGTCTCCTTTAGCATACCAAGCTTTTCTGCAGCCCATGAATGAACTGATTCCTTAACACTGGAGTCACTCTCAGGTATCAAAATTGACATTCCAATTCCTTCGGACAGCAGTTCAAAAACAAATGGGGATATCAAGAAGCTCTCAGTGATGAGTTTTTCGCCAATAAATAACTTGTCAACTTCCATCGAATGCTCTGTCAAGCCACCGATGGTATCCGTGCAGATAGTCGTAACTGATGCCATGGAGACACAAGCTAGAAATTCCTGTTCTGTGGCCTTATCCGACATTGTCTTGTGATTCCAATAAGTGATCGCCAATGAAACAACAAAGGGTAGGCCTTCCATTATCCCCACAAGTGACACGCTCAATAAAGTTGTCAAAGCTCTTGCTGTCCCCTTTTGTTCTACGATAATCTTCTTTATGGCGTTTATAATCGTCCTTGTTGCAGTTGGTTCCCCCTTTGATTCTGGTCTGAACCCATTCTCATCATCTATTTTTCTCAATACAAATCGCAGGAACAACACTACAAGCATGAGGATAGTGATTAGAAGCCCTACAGTGTGTATGCAAGTGCTCAACTTGTCAAGTCGAGCTTCCAATTTGGTCTTCTTGTCAGGAGAATTAGTCGCCCTTCTCATTGTGGCACCCCACTGTGTGTCCTCTCCAACAGAAGTCACAATCATTCTAGCATCGCCATTGATCACCATTGCACCATAAAACAAAAATGGATTTTGGTCATTAATGAAAGACTTCAACCCATCATCCAATACTAACCCTTGACCATCTACAAACAAACCATCAGCAGGAACTTGGGACCCCCTTTTCAGGTATACTATGTCACCACACACAAGTTCCGAGATATGGATCGGGGATTTGTCTCCCGCTCTGATGACTTCAATTTCCATTTCCTTTCCCTTGGGAGACGGTTTTTGTTTCTCTTTCTTCCGAGACCTTCTTGCTTCCCAGTATTTCTGCGTGGAAGTGAAAATAATGAGAACAACGACAGTGATAGCTACAATAACTCCATCAAACCAACCATTCTCTGGGCCTTCCTCCTTCATCCCAAACGCAAAGGACAATATTGCAGCCAATGAGAGGAGAAAAATGGTGTAGTTGTTGGTAGCTTCTAAAAGGAAGTGAGTGAAAGTGAGTGCAGGAGGTTGAATTTGGCAGAGTTTTCTTGTTTGGCGTTGAATAATATCTTCATCATCACCAGAAATTCCATTATCAAGGTCAGTGTTTAGTGCCTCCGCAACTTCTCTCACACCTCCGAAATCATGAAGGGATTGCAATCTCTTCCCTTTTACAATCTCGGTGATTCTTGAATGTTGGGGAAGTTGGAGCTCACCACCGCTGCCAACGTTCAAGGCTTGTTCAGGTAAGCAACACTCGAGCTTTATAATTTCAGAGTGCTGAAAATCAGCAAACGGTTGATTAATAATCATCCAAATACTTCTCCGCCAATCATAAGGTAACTCAAAATACATCTACTTTCAAATTCTTCATGCAGTGTACAAGGACTTCCAATATCATGAAGCTGCAGTTTTACCTACATCCCCAGACACACATAGACCTCATCAATCAACTGATCTGGGTAGGGCTATTGCTGTCAAAGACTGGGGAGTTGTAGGCATAAATGCGTGACATTTTAATTAAAACCTAGTGAAGATATCACTTTCCTAGAATAGTTTGGGTTTCTAGGGTTTAGCCATTTAGGGTTCAGGATTTAGGACATTAATTAGGATTTGTTTAATTGTCATGTTACTTGGTTCATGAGAAAGAACAAAACAAAACAAAAAAATACTGTTGTAATTACTCTTCCTTCACACAAAATTATGGATGATATTCTTTCAACCACTCCAAAATCCTAAAAGAACTTGGACCCTCCGATTCAAACATCCAAGAAAGTTGAAATTAACGAACTACATGTTTCATCTTAATTTAATATAATATATTTTTTCTGAAAAACAGTTTTAGTGTAAGACAAGAAGAGTGAAGTTGGGAAAATATTACTTCTTCTTTAGCATCATAGCTGCCATCAAGAGGACTGTAAGTTGGAGATGATGATGAGACTCTGGAGAAAGATGGAGACCTCCCACCAATGTTAGCTGCAGCAAGGAAGATATGGGCTGAGCGGATGAGCTGGCTGATTACTCCCAAAATCTGTGTGGGACTGGGACTGGGATTGGGACTCGGAGTCTCATCAGACATAAGGAAAGGTTCATGCTGAGCTTCGAGGTCATACCTTTCGTCTGCAGGTTCCTTTGACATATTTTCTTCTGAATAATCAGGGATCCAAATGATTAGTATAGTATATACTTAGAATCAAACATCATAATGAGCATGCGAAATGCAATATGTGCTTCCGTAGAAACTCCGGTGGTTACTCTGCCGCCGGAAAAACTTTTCCGATTGATGGGTACCGAACTGAATAGAAATGAAAGAGAAAAATGAGTGAGGATCAGAGCAATTATGGTGGGATTGCAATTATGGTCTGTGATGGTGTGGTGGAACGTATGGTGGGATTGCTAAATATATATAGGGGAGAGGAAGCTGCCATGCAACTGCCTCCCCCCCCCCCCCCCCCC